ACTGATTTAAAATCAGACCTCTATAATTACATCTGCCCGTAATAGAGGAGGAAGAGGTTTGTCTCACGGACCACACAACCTGTCCATCTTTAATTAAGTTAAGCCTCTCAGGATCTGGTTTCAGTTGTCACAAACACACATCAAACACTGCAGGACGTTTATGAACACGCACACACACACACACACACACACACACACAGAAGTCAAATAACAGAGCTAAAGGTAGGATCAAAAACTTAATTAACATTTCCACATAAATACTATTTGACAAAAAACAAAGAACACGATATAGGTTACTAAAGGTCACTACAAAGCAAATTAGCCTTTTATGGGAGATAAGAGACCACGAGTTGAATACAACTTTAAATACATTAGGACGTAAGGAGAGCTGGGTATTAAAGCAAGTTTTTAAGAAATACACACTGATATATTTTCAAACGAGACTGTATGGTTTGTGTTGCGTCAAAATGGTGTTACACATTCCTGTTTCTCCTCTCACTGTGTGTGTTTAAGTTATTTTTTGGGCCCCTTTGTCTTTATTGATAGGACAGCTGAAGAGAGATAGGAAATGTTGTGAGGAGAGAGCGGGGTTTGACATGCAGCCAAGGCCAGAGGTCGGATTCAAACCCACAGCAGCTGCGACGAGGACTACAGCCTCTGTTCATGGATAACCGCTATAAGCTGCCGGCGCTCCACAAATATGTTTCTTAAATCTGAAGAATGTGATTTGTTTTTGAGGGTATCGTTGTATTCTTTATATCACTGTTCTCTTTTTCACACATTTTATCTTTATGAAAAAAACTGCAGCTTCTACAAGTTGAATTTGTCACTTGGTCTGATTGGTTTTTCAATACAAAACTTACTCCGGGGGTTGTCATGGTACTTGGGGTGGGAATCAAATGTAAAAAGCATATTTGCTATGAATATAATAAAAATATCTCTACTAGGCGACCATGAGACGATATAATATCTCCACACAAAATATCGCGATACTATGGTGCAGTAATGATATCAATACTTGTTTCCATACCACAGCGACAAACAATCAACGTCCTATAGGCGGCCAATGTTGTATAGTATCATGCTTTAAGGGGGGCTCTAGTGGTTAGTGCGTGCGCCCAGTGAAGAAGGCTATAGTCCTCCAAGCGGGTGGGTTCAAATCCAACCTGTGGCTCCTTTCCTGCATGTCATTCCCCACTCTCTCTCTCTCTCTCTGATTTCCAACTCTATCCACTGTCCTGTCTCTAAATAAAGGCACACTCATACGGCTAAAGTAAAAAGCATTTTGTCCGAGAACATGGGTGTAGGAAAAGTGCAGCTAAGAGAAAAATCCAAACTGTAGGTGCAGCAGAACGACAATAAGAAAAGGACTGTTTACCAGCTCACTGTGGCAAATTATAGGACTATAAGAGATAATAATACAGTCAAAATATACACACTGGATACTACAAAATGCTAAGGACACAATAAACTAGAACATAACTCTCCATGGGCAAACGAGCTTGATTCTATTTTTCAGGAGGTGGATGTGACAAGGCCCCTTTTTCTTGCGATAAAATCGTTATCGTTTTATCGCCCAGGCCTAATTACGCTAGCAGTTCTTTTTCACCAGCAGAGTATCGGCCCCAAAAATCCTGTATCGGTCGGGGCCCTACAATAGAGCTTGATTACATTCTTGAGGAGGTGGACCCTTCTGGGATTTTCAGGGCAGATATCGATCTGGAAAGTAACTGCACATATACATTAAGTGCATCATGACCTGACCCTCTCGAGCGTGATCATGCTTGTTGTAATCCAGATAGCACAAAAAGTCATTTAAATACCAAAGTATCCTCTCTGCTTTGTGTCTCGTACTGCTGGAATGCTGAATTAGGGAAAGTATATTTAATATTCTCAAGAGAGATTTTGTAGTAAATTAAATTAAAAGAAAGAACAATGATCAAAACAAAGAAGCTTATAGAAGGAAGGACAATCTGCAAATACAGAGGGGAGTATAAATGGATAACCATGCTACATGTCAGAATGACACACGAGTACTTCACAAAAAGGAAAACAGAAGAAAAAAAAAGTGTGAGAAGTAGGCCAATCACATAAACTGAATATTGTAGAGCAAACTATTCAGCTATATCGTTCAGGGGGCCAAATTTTCAGAAAGCTAAGGAGCCGGGGGGGCAGACAAGCAACCCACCACAGCAGTAAAGTGCGCAAAGCAGCCTATCACAAGCTTGTGATAGGCTGCGAGCACAGGACCAAAGATCTTCTATTAAACGGGAGCGCTGTGCTGTTTTAAAAACTTTACTGTGGCAACAATGACAGTCATTCACAAGTCCCCCCCCCCCCCCCCCCCCATTCGTTATTTATTTTTTTAATTGTAAATAGAACGGATCTGCGGGACAGTCTGATGTCATCTGCGGGCCGGCGTTGGCCCCTGGGCCGCCAGTTGAATAGACCTGTTGTTGAGGAGTGCCATAAAGCCGGCTGACCATAGGTTATTGTATGTCATTGAAATACTGTACTAAAGAAAAGTATCTAAATAGCACGCCGTCCTCCGGTTCAATAGTTGTATCTTATCTTCAGTGTTCCCGTCGTTGCAGCACAGGACATAAAGAACTGAAAGTGGAACATAAAATCCCTATCAGTCATCAATCTGGAGGTTTCTACGAAAACTAAAGATGTCGTAACAGGAAGATTAACGCAGGGTTAAAGTCGGGTGGATATAATAATAAAAGTAGAGGGTAAATATGACAAACTAAACAGCAGAGACACATTGTGAAATACAAACACTGTGAGAATATTAAATAATCGAGCGCGGTCGCACAAAACCAACAGAGCTTACCTCTGACAAATTAGAAAACTACACGAGAGAGAAACTAAAACAAACCGTAGACTACGAGGGTAAATATGCTCCTCAAAAGCTTTAATCAAATACACACTATTCAATACTACTGATGCAATAAAGCATCTGACAGTACAGTGTGTGGAGCCAGGTCCCCTCTCGAGTACTGCCGAGGTACTCTTTAGTGAGTGATCGGACCCAGCTCTGACGCTCTCTCTCTCTCTCTGTGTAGCAGCCCCGCTCTGACATCTCTCCCCTAAAGCATATCCATGGGTCCTGTCTGTGCATGTGTGTGAGAAGCATGTCTCTCTATAACAGAGTGTCAAACCAGAATTTCACTCAGGGATTGATAAGGTATGTAAACAAACCGGGGGATCTCCTGAAATAAGACGTGTTGTAAAAAATGTATGAGGAAGTAGCAGACGAAAACAACAGAGTCCACTATACAGCGTGAAAATGAGAATATTCGCCTTTATATCAATGCTGTGTGTAGTTCAACTGAAATCACAACGTCAAAACACTGGCAGGAGAAACTCTGGGTGAAACATTTGTCTGTTTGCGTTCACACATACAGTTCCTCCGGGAGATTTCAGGAGTTTTTCAGGAAGTAAGAAAACCTGCAAATAAAGACATAGAAGTTAAGGTAGGCCACGGGGGGACAAACAACAACGATAACCCTCGCGATATAACTTTTCTCAGCACTTGCTCAGCTGCAACAGCACCGCTATGTGTGCCAATCGTGCAAAGCTGTGAAAACACGTTTCCCTCTGGGGAACAATAAAGTATTGAATTGTAATTCCAGCATCTTGCATTGTGCCTGTGATCCGTTCAAGTAAAGTTTGTCATGTTCTGAAATAGTCATTAAACCACAATTAACTACCTGGTTTCTTCAACTTTCACTCAGGGGCAAAAATCTGCTTTTTAATTTGAAAGAAATAATGATTCGACATTTATAATTATAATTAATCGATATCAACTGATATGAAAAGTTTTATCAAAGATAACATTTTTAGTCATAAAAGTCGCCCCTGTCCTATTTTTAAAGGTGCACTTTTTAGATTTGGTTGTGAAATTGGAAAACTGGAGAAGTGAAACCATTCTATGCCACACTTTCTGAACTGAACACACACTTTCTCACTGGCCCACCACCATAAAACTTCTCGTGTCACATTTGATCTTTAAACAGTGTTACAGGGACCAAATTCTCCTGTGAGGACAGTTCGTGTTTAGAGTTATGAACATGCAGCCCACAGTACCACAGAATCTGTACACTTCTCCAACTTTCACATTTCTCTACCAAAACTCCACAAAGCACCTTTAAGGTGACTTTCTGAAAAACTGCATTAAAGGCGACTAAATGAGACAAACAATTGAGTTAAACATGCCGACGACGTTTCAAAGATACAGTACATTATCGAGTCTGTCGACCTCGTAAAAAAAAACACTGAAAATCCCAATGAACACACGGGAGTATGTAAACTAAAGATAAGTTAAATAGAGGCTACGTGTAACAGTAATAAAGCCTATGGGACGCTATAATGAAGTTACATTATCTGAACTGAACCAGACGCACACTACGTCAGTGGCGAATCAGCACAGGAGGCTACAGTCTTTTATGTTCTGGTCGTGGAAACCTCCCACTTTAAAAGTATAATAGAAGAAAACCTACAAGAGGAGTTGACATTAAAGTTCCCACAGAGCCAGAAGGAAGATAAATGATATCCTTCGGGAGTTTTACCACAGGAATTTGATAAAGTAGAGACATGTCTTGAGACCTCCTCGCCCCCTTCCTCGTCCTCCCTTGTCCCCCTTTTTTTTTTCTTCTTTTTTTTTTGCTCATCGGTCTCAAGCTTTTCTTTTATTGTTTGTTTTTTTTTACACACTGACACAAAAACACGAAAATAAACGAACAAAAAAAAAAAGACAGAAATTAGCCTGTGATCAACCCGCAACACAAACACGTTTTAAAAAAACTACATAGAGTTTGGTTGAAACTTTCCGAAGTTTCCTGATAAAGTTTTTACTCACATGTTGAAACACACACACAGACAGACACAGACACACACACACACGCGCGTGGAGTTGTAACCCGGTCCAGACACGCGCTGTCCCGGTAAAGCACCACAAAGCTCCGTCTTTAAGAACACAGTGAAAGAGGACTTACATGAAGGAGCAGCGAGCGGATGGGTTTCTCTTCTCTTTGTGAAGCTGCAGTTGAGTTGAGGGCATGATGATGCAGGATGCCGAGGCCCCGCCCACCAGATGGGGAGGGGGGGGGGGGAGGGAGGGGCGGTGGGGGAGGGGGAGGGGGAGTTTTTCTCGGTTGCGGGTTTTCAGGGGTTGGTGGTCCGGGGAAGATAAGCCTCACTGGTGTTTTGGGTGTGTGTGTGGTTTTGAAACACAACCAACACCGTTTAAAATGGCGCCTCGTGGCTGTAGTTCATAATGAAACACACACACACAAAACTATGAATCAACCTGGATCATAAAAAAAAAAAAAAAAAAGAATTACAGTGTTGATTATGACAGCTATTCAAAAAATGTGTGGGTCAAAAAATATGCTTGTTCATTTTCAAATCAAACCCTGTCATTAATGAAAATGAAAGTGTAAAAACCAGAGACCAGATATTAATGACGAAACCTCACTACTGTCACCGCAAGGAGGTTCATCGATGGTGGGTCACCATGCAAGAAATCCTGTCTCAGTCTAACTTTCAGTCAACCCAACGACAGGCTGATAGCTGGTGTTGAGGCAAGTTTTAAGCCTCCTGACAAACTGCTACATCACAACCGCCTGTCAATCATGTCGCATATGCATCACTCGTTTATAAAATTGAAAGAGTTGAGTTTAAAAAAAATCCCCCCCTGCACAGGTTGTGTCCATGAGGACAATAACTATTCAGAATGATTTGTTTTTTTTTTATAACCAGGCTGTAAATATGTTAATATCTGCTTTAAAAACTAGTTATTTTGAATGGGGTGTGTATGTGACTCTGGGGCTCTTGGAGCCAGCCTCTAGTGGACACTCGACGAACTGCAGGATTTTGCACTACTGCACCACTTATGAAGGTTGCGCTTGGTAAAAAAAAACAATGTAGGTGTCTGCTGCTCTTTCCTCATAAAGATGAACACACCTGTGTGTCAGTAAATTAAGTTTGGTTTATCCACTCAGTGCTAAAGTCTATACATGGAGATTAATTGTTTTCTGCTTCTAGCCTTATAAATTACAATAAATTACTGTGTAAATAATTGTACAGATTTGACGCTGTTGTCGAAGTGAGTGTTCATGGCTATGTGCTACGTTATAAGACTTTAACACCTCCAGGAACAGTGGGTTTTTTTTAAGGGGGGGAGGGGGCATTAGCTGAGAAGTTTGTGAATACCTGTCTTAGGACACCTCAACATAATTCACTTCAGCAGTTATCATCATTTTCATTTTTTTGGTCTGATTTCTTGTCATATTTTGAGCTAAGTGGGCCATCTTTGGAATATTTCAAGGTAATTTAATCATGAAAATACAATTGTCAATATCAACTTGGTCAGCAGTTGTGACTTTCTTACGTCTTCTACATTTTTCAATAATAGGGGATAACACAAGGAACAACAATTCATGGCTACATAGATGATATTTGCTAAAACAGAGAACTAGCATAATTTAGTCTGGTCTACAGGTCTAGAGGTGTTACATGTGCTAAAGTAGCCTAAAAGTAGACTGGTATTTAAGTCCAGGTATGGGTTTATGTGTGTGGCCAAGTATCACAAGACCTAGGGTATTTTTTTACGAGTTACTTCAGTGTTTGTTTCCTCAAAAATACCAACAGAAGCATTTCAGCATTTTCTGTTTGTCTTCTCTGGGTGATGATACGAGGGTGTTGTCAGTGTCTTCTGATGTATACAAATGTGAAAAGCACTGGACATATCTGACAGTTTGTAAAACAGGAAGTGGAGAGAAAGTAATCGGCTCACTTCCAGCAGTAACATGAAGGACTCACACAGCAGGAGAAAACGAGAATCAATCGTAGAAGACAAAAAAAGTGGATTGTAATGTTGATCATCTCAAACTAAATGTTTGTGGTGCTGTTGTTCTCTAAGCTGAGGTGCATTCTGGGATGGGCTCCGAGCACAAAACATTTCAGAGTTGATCTGCTAAGACCTCAAAGATTTATGTGACTGGAGAATAGTTAGTGTGAATGAATAAACAACTGAGAGAAAACAGAGACACAGGAAGAAAAGAACCTCAGCTTTCAGCTTTCTGTACATTTTTCCTGAATGTTCACCCCAACGAAACACCCCAAACCCTTCAAAGTAAAGTTAAAAATATATGGAATGATGTTGAACTAATATCTATATGTATTTGCTTAGTGATTATAATGTATACTTTAAGTATATAAACTATAAGTCCTTGATGCTTCAATTTAGATTAATTTTGTGGTGTCAGATGTACACTTTTTTATTTTTTACTTGTTGCAGACACAAAAACATAGACAGCAACATTCATAAAAACTGATTCAAAACGTGTAAAAACAATCTATAATAAAATATAATATATTTCATATGTGCAATTATATGCATAACTTACATGGTGCAATAACATGTTCAACCTTTTATGTGCACTGTGTGAGTTTTTTTTCTGTATTCCTGTGAATGTTTCAACTACATGTAACTTACATGGTGCAATAACATGTTCAACCTTTTATGTGCACTGTGTGAGTTTTTTTTCTGTATTCCTGTGAATGTTTCAACTACATGTGCAACAACTGCAGCTCTGTTACTGCTCGTTAACTATTTAACTGTGTGCTCGTTTTCGTAATCATTACTCTTTGCTGCATGAAAATGTGATGGGGCGGCTGTGGCTCAGTTGGTAGAGTCGGTCATCTCTCAACCGGGAGGTCGGGGGCTTGATCCCCACCTCCTGCAGCTACATGTCTGATGTGTCCCTTGGGCAGGAAACTTACAGCCAAGTTGCTCCTGCTTTTTTGTCAGCTGCTGGTGAATGTGTATTCTGGGATAAGTTAATTTTGATGATCGCTTTACATAGCTGCCTCTGTCATTAGTTCTCGAATGTGTAAGTGTAACGACTTCCTACTGTAACGCTGTTTAAAAATTAAAACAAGATGAGAAATTCCAAACAAATTTGGAGATACTGGAGGATAAGTTAACGGTTATAAGGGGACAAAATAAAACAAATAAGAAGATTAGTTGAAAGTAAAAGGCGTTACATTTCCTTACACTGCGTCTGTATTGTATTAGAGCAACAACTTAATTCACTTTGTGCTCCATATTTAAATTTTGCACACGTGTGATTGTAAAGGGATGAAGCAGAAATAGAATAGGTCGGGCTCAGACTTTATTTTCAGTTTGACAGAAACATATTCATGATCCACTGTAGCATCATTTTCTTATTTTGGCCCACAGAGTTACAGTTAAAGATTCATAACATCATTACGTCCATCAGGTTAGTAGCAGAGAGGCTCATTAGTCAGATTACTTTATAAGGATTTTACAGTTCAGATAAAGGGCCATTCCAGCATCATGTTAGCTTGAGACGATGAACGTCAGCTATTTCTGTCTAATTGATGTTTCATTAGTGTGTTTAAGAACGCTCTGACAGCCCAGAAGTAAAAGTTGATTGTTCAAAAATTTAACTCTGACAAAAAGAAAAATATGAAACAAAGACATGAACAGAAAAAAAACAGATATAAAACACCTGATATCTAATACATTTCAGCACCTTATAATAAAACATTTATTTATGAAAAGCAGAAGTGGAGAGAATACATTTTGTGGTCAAGTATTAAAAACTACATGAATGCATGCCGGGTACTGAGAGCAGGGGTCCATGGAGTCATGTTCAACACTTAAAACAAACACATAGCACCCTCTGCAGGCCGCCTGATGTACTACAGCAAATACACTTAAAGGGACATGAACTGTTGATGTCAGCTGTCAGTGAATCAGCAAAACTACAGGCAACAGTTTTATTCAAATTCATAAACAAACTATCTCTTGTGTTTTGGCGTACAGACAATGAATGTGATTCTTCTCTCCAAACATGTCTGTGAACGATTAAAGGCAGGGTTGGCAAATTCAGAAAACTAGCATGATTTTGAAAGTGGCATTCCCTCAGTGCTCCTTCTATGTTCAGTGTGCAACAACTGCTACAGATGACTGATTTTCTTTAGTCCTTTTTCAGAGCACATGAGTTTTTAATTTCTGTTAGGACCTAAAGACAATTTCAACCAAAATCTGAAAAAGTGGATCTGGAGAAAATTACTTTGAAATTTAATTTGTGTTGGCTTTAACACAAAGACATGATGCGATGTTGGTTTTAAAAGAGACATTACTTATCGCTGTTTTACTGCTTTTCTGAGGTAAGTCTGTCATCATTATGTGACAAACATCAGGTAGATTATCAAGCAGGGTCTGTTTGTGTTTGAAATAAACTGTTACGCATAACTTATTCCTGCACTAAAAATGAAGGCTATAACGGTAATACTTTTTATTCAAGATGAAATCCAAGATATTTACTAAACTGTTAAGAATATACAAAATAGTTATATGAGGATTGATTAACTAGTTGTCATAATTAATAGCTCTGTGGATCCAGTTGGGGATTTAATTTCAGAAACTTTGTTAAACATTAACTTTGTTTTAGACACATTTATGCCATTAATTGACAGCCACTTAAGATGAATGAATCTGCAACTACAAAAGATATTAGGGATCTTTTTTCACGCATGATAGCAGAATTTTTAAAGGAGATCTAAATAAATATATACCGTTGGAAAGCCTGTTTATTTCCCTTTGAAATGGTGCCACATTTGTAAGGAACATGCATTTGTGGGATAAGCAGCAGAGTGGAGTATGTGGGATAAGCAGCAGAGCTGAGTATGTGGGTTGCGTCTATGAAAAAACTTGCCAAATCTTCCCTTCCAAAGGCACGAAAGGTACAAAAAGGCTTCAAAGTGATTAAAACTGACAAGTGCTAGCATGTTAGCTGTTAGCTTCCTAGCAACATTAGGTCCTTTAGCTCAGTGAACAGCTGGTGTGTCACTATAAGCTCAAATATTTAGCGAAGAAAAGCAGATTCAGCCGAAGTTTTGATACGGTAAAATGCGACCAGACCTGTTGGAAAACTAAAACGTATCGCCTTCTGTTCCTGAATCATGAAAACCCAGGTCAGATTTGTAAACAATGAAGTGGTTTTGATTTCTTACATGACATTAAACCACACGTCAAAGAACACAGGTAGGAACCGGGTGAGGTTTTTCAGAGAGCGATCTACTGGAGTTATAAAGTTTCCAAGTAATCCTGAGGATGATATTTGGCACATGCTGGCACAAGCTGTTCTGTAAACTGTTCAGTTAAGGTATTTTCAGACAGAAATCTTTGGTAGTGGTCAAAGCGTCAGGCGGGTTTCACACAGAGATAATAATGAACTCTGAGGATGGATCGACAGCATAGTTTCTCTCCCCAAACAAAAGTTTTTTTTTTTTTTTACAACTCTTGAATCTTGAATTAGAGTCGACAGGAGGATTAGTGGCTTCAAGGATTAACATTTTCTTTACATAAAGTAGAATAAATTTTTTCCTCTCATCAGGACACCAGGTGAAAAACATGGAGTCAGAAATTAGGAGGGGCGCTGATGGCCTAGCGGTTAGGTCGTGCTCCGTTCCCGCATGTCATTCCCCACTCTCTCTCTCCCTGATTTCCAACTCTATCCACTGTCCTATTTCTACAATAAAGGCACAAAATGCCCCAAAAAAATCTTTAAAAAAACAAACAAAAAAAAAATCAAGGTTTGATGGTTATTAGAACAAGGAGAGCAGGGATTGTATTTAAAAAGTAAATGATACTGTGTGTGTGTGTGTGTGTGTGTGTGTGTGTGTGTGTGTCTCTGTCTACTGGATAACACAGCAGCAGGTAGCGGGGTAATTGTCTGCGCTGACTTGGTTCTCGTTGCCGTAGACGTAGTAAACGTGGGAGTCTCCTTTCCACTTATAGTTCACCTTAGTGATGGGGATCAACTCGACCTTCTGCCTCTGAGGGAGAGAGAGAGAGAGAGAGAGAGAGAGAGAGAGAGAGAGAGAGAGAGAGAGAGAGAGAGAGAGAGAGAGAGAGAGAGAGGGAATGAAAGGGAGAAAGAGAAGGAGAGAGAGAGAGAGAGAGAGAGAGAGAGAGAGAGAGAGAGAGAGCATCAATAAAGGATTTGTTTCAACATTTTGGGGAACACACTTGTTCTCTTTAGAGTGAAAAAAATAGCTAACCTGATTTATGATTGTATAAATAAATAAAAAACATAAAATTCTCAAAATCCTCAAATGCTCCGCTTCAACCGACACTTAAACTCTTCTCACTTCTTGGATTCCATTTCACTTCATCTATTTTCAATAGCCCTAATCAGACTGACAATTCAAGCAGCCATATGTACGCCCCTGTGACGTTTAGCGTTCAATCTGAATGTCGCAGGTGACCTGAGTAAGTCTTTCCATCCTCGTGTATCTGTGTGCTGACCTACCTGCTGCAGGATCCTGGAGGTCTGGGCGTATTTACTCTGGTGGTCTTTGATCAGACGCTCAGACGCCTCGGCTATGGCCGGGTTTGGAAACCCGAGCAGAGGGTAGAGCTGAGAGGAGACAAACAGAGAGAGACAGTCTGTCACTTACAGTTGTAATGGCATTAAAAACAATCATCTCACATGAACAACCTCCTTTAAATTACCTTTTTCTCCAGCACCACCCGAAGGACTATTTCTAACTTTTAAAGCTCAAACACACCGTCCTGCATCTTGCTTTTTTTGTGATTTATTTAATTTAATTGTATACATTGTTAGAGATGTATGTCAAATAAAAATCACAGCAAAACACAACAAAATTCAAGTTAATCTTACTCGGGTACTTAATTAAAACCTGAAATAAATATTGCAAAATCATGATCAGAAGTTCAGACAGACAATTCACGTCTGCATTTGTTTGAAATATTCATTTCAGCAGCAGCAGAACATAGTTTGGTTGCGTCACCTTGGCTCCGACCTCATCACTCCTCACAGTTTTAATCTACATGCAGAGATTTGAGGAGTGATGGGATGAGATCTTAAACCACGCAGTCGGAGCCTGCAGGTGGATGCTGAGGTGGTGGTGGGGCTTAACAAGAGTGAAGTACAGCTACAGTTTAGAGCTGGTGATGAAAGAACATAGACTGGAAATCTTGCAGTTTAAATAGACCTCTAATTGGAAGGACGTGTTGTGAGGGGATTGCGGACAATGATGCACGTTGATCGGGAAATCAGTGCAGCTCGAGTTGTTCAACTGAGCTAGCTCACAGACGTCGGTGGAGTATGTAAAATTAAACTTGCTCAGAGTCAGGGTGAAGAAGCGCAGCTTCATCACGCAGCACAGTTCATGTATTTAAGAATTACATTTATTGAACTGGTCATCTATTGATTACGTCACCGATTTATTTCAGGGGAAAACTCTGACAGTGTTTATTTTAAAACGGTACTTTTGTAATATTTCTGTGTGTGTGTATTTGTGTGTACCAGGTATTGGTTGTTCTTGAACAGCTCCTTCCCGGTCACCGAGCGAAGGTCATCAACATTAATACCCGAGTTCTGCTGCACCACGTGGTCCTCCACATTATCAGTCCTAAACACAAAAACAAACATAAACATATATATATATATACACACACCCAGAGTGAATAACAAACAAACATTTCATCTTTTTTATCCTCTTCACTCTGTATGGTTTATATTTTATTATTTCAAATTAACAGGATGCAGTTTATCTTTTAGCCACTAGAGAGCAGCACCTCTCAGCTAGGTCAATTAACACTAAACTACATTAGAGTCAGATGTAGGATCAGTTGGATACCTTCAAGGACATTGAAAGCTGCTCGAGGACCACTATTGGACATCTTCAAGGACTACTGGAATATCAAGGGACTCTAGGGAAAATATCAGAACCCACTCTCCTCCAGGTCTCAAGTTGACAGTCCAAGGTTTCTTGGAAAAGTTGTAGTGCCATTACTCACCACTCAACTTTGAGCTGGATGTAGGTCAGCAGTTGTCGTTTTCCTTCACAGGTTTCACAGTCCTTCGATCCCCGTGAATTGCATTCTGTACAGCTAAAGACGCAACACAAACACATACACGTTCAGACATGTGACACACATGACTCACATTCTTCAGAGATTTGATCTAAGAGGAGTGACATTGCTGACATGGCAATGTAAATTAAAGGGTCACAGTGTTTTACATGTTCCACTTCCTCATCCAGCTGAACACTTTTCATATAATACATCACATTTTTAACTCACACTAACACACCTAAATAACAGGAATTCCACATGTGTGCATTGACGATCGTTAATGTACAAGTCTGAACGGGCCTCAAGAGAAAGCCTGATTTGTCGTTTTCAGTTTAGATATCCTTAAATGTAAGAAAAGTCTCAGAGTGGAATGACACTCGTGGTTGGAGAATACTTTTTTTTTCAGAGTTACAGGACACCCTGTCCACCCTGCAGTACCTGTCTTTGCCTGTAGAATCACAGCTGGAGCAGTTTACGCCGCTCTTTGTCCCGGAGCCGTCACACGCCCAGCACGGTTTCTACAGAGAGAGCACACACATGGTCTTATACTGCCTTTGATGTTCAGTGCAGTAAGATAACTTAATACATCCTCAACTATTAATTTAACATCAAACACATTTCACCTGCCTTTAATGTAATTTAGCTGTCTTGCTATTAATCAGAACATTTCTATTTAATTTGTTAGTACTGATTCATAATTTACAGATTGACAGCTTCACTTACAAAGCCATTTCCATGGCACTCTACACACTGCATCGTCCCTGAGGCATGGCAGGTGTGGCACTCCTGCAAACACACACACACACACACACACACACACACACACACACACACACACACACACACACACACACACACACACACACACACACACACACACACACACACACACACACACACACACACACACACACACACACACACACACACACACACACACACACACACACACACACACACACACACACACACACACACACACACACACACACACACACACACACACACACACACACACACACACACACACACACACACACACACACACACACACACACACACACACACACACACACAAAGTTAAAAATATCTTTACAGATACAAGCTGATGGAATGCTCCACATCAGAATCCCGCTCTCTGATTGGCTGTCAGCCATCTGTTAAAAGTTAGGGTCAACACTCTAATGAACCTGAAGGTAACCATAGTAACAGTAACTATGCTACACGTTATGTTAGCAGGGAAATAACACAAGGCGGATAAACTTCTACCAACATCTGTTAAACATCTGTCCAAGTCAAAATTCCCCATTTGAGATCTGAAACTCACCGAACATGGAGGTTATAGAGCCTTGAAAATACATTAAAAATGTCTGCAATTATATCTCAAGACATTCCTCGACCATCAAAGACACCTCAATGTTAATCCTGAATCTTTTTGGCCCCACTGAGCGGCCATTAGAACATTTTCCAAGACTCCAGGAACTTTAACAAAAACCTTCAAACATTTACAATATTTCATAGACTTGTAGCTCAACCTGAATGATATTTGGATGCAAACCATTCAAAGACTCTATCCAGGTATCTTTGGAACGTTCTTAAGGACCCTTGTAAATCAAACATTGTACGTTCTCAGTGGTGATTTTGACTGCAGCTCTGGAAGATCCCATCAAACCTCTTCAAAGAACTATAAATATCTCGAGGGGTCTTTTCAGGACACCTTTTGAGACGGTCTGGTACATATTTAAGAACTTCTTGAGTCTTCAATAACATCTGAAAACTAATCAATCACCATTTGAGCATTTTCAAAGGGTAAACCCTAAATCCTCAAAGATCACAGCACAACTCAAGGAGTCCAGGAACAACTTCAAGCCCTTTTGAAACCCCTTAAGTGAATGTTTGAATGTGGTATCCCTTAAAAAGGACCCTTGAACCCTCTTTGGTCTCCTCTAAACATCTTCCAAGAGTTTCTGGGACTCCTCAGTGAAAGCATGACAAATGGTGGTTCCAGTAGGCTAACTCTACCAATTGCAAAATGACACCTTCAAGCACTTCTTGAAAATCTTAACAACCATTGGAACCCTCTCAAGGACAACTGAAACCATTACAGGACCCTTAAAAACATTTTTATGGTCATTTTTGGAACCACTCAATGACCATTGGGCGTCTTCAAGAAAATGTGGATGCTGATTGCACAACATTTTAAACTGCTTCAGGACCTAAAACAGTCCTCAAGACCTACTGGATGTCTTCAAATGCCTGAACAACCACCTCAGTGAACCCTTCGAGCTGTTCGGACCACTCAATTTTAATTCAAGACTTTTAGGACTTTCTTAGGGACCTCTATTAAGGGCTCGAGGACTTTGAAAGTGAATCCTTTCCCCCCATTGGTTATCAACTAAAAAATTCACACAATGTCTACATCTTACTTTAGATCTGGAGCCTCCTCAAAAATCATTTGAATCTTTGTCAGGACTACGGAAAAAACCATTAAAGGACCCTTTTAAATTTGAATGGCTAACTAAAAAGTACTGGAAACCCTCTAAGACCAGTGAAAGTCACCATAGACCGTTTAAACATGTTTCAAAGCTGGACAGTTCTCAAAGACGTCTGGGAAATATCCAAATACTAACAACCTCCCCAGTCAACACCTTGACCTCCTCAAGGACTACCCGAAGTCCTTACAGACACCTGAACCTATCACTAGGGCCTCTCCAAATAGCTCAAAGACTACGGGAATATTCAGATTTAACCAAATGAATCCTGGAGACAATTAATACTGCTCTCTGATTGGTTGTCAGCAAAATATCACACGTTAACATAGTCAAGGTCTACAGTTATACCCCTGATCAGAATAAATGTAATTTAAGATGCAGGTAACCAAAGACGTCTTCGTTTGACAGCTTCTGATAACCAATCACCTTGATGGAGGAGGTGTAGGGCACGCGGATCTCCTCTGTGTGATTGGTGAAGAGGCTTGGGGCCGTGGCCTGGATCTCCCAGGGTCGGGGGGCGGTCTGGGTGTAGAAATCAGCAGGCTCACCTGTCAGTCACACAATGAAGACATGAAAAACACCTGTCGATCAAACACCTGTCAACTCCAAATGAAACATGGAGCAGCAATTAAAGTCTTAAATGTTATCTCAGCTTTGAGTCAGAGTTTTCAGATTGTACATTTGTTGACTGTTATTTTTTAAAGATTTCAACTCTGATGTTTTCAAGGACACTTGGACATTTGGTGGTTCGAGATTCTTTGTGGAAACTAAAACGAAACAATCAAATGAACATAAATATATAACAACATAACAAGCATTTTCATTCAGGATGAATCTTCTGACAGCAGTAGTAATTTAATGTTGTCTGCCTGCAGCCTGACTTTAATGAGTGAAATTGAGTTATTCTTAACTCGCTGAAGTTATCTCAAATAATTCAATAATTCTGCTTTATGAGAGTCAACATGGAGCTTTATGATATTACGTCTTCACAGTTTAATATCTTTTGTACGTGGAGCTCTGTGAGATCTTTGAAGTTTACCAAATTAAGTGCAATTCTTCAATGTTCTGTTTATTTAAAGGTCACATATTAAGCAAAATACACTTCACCATGTTTTTCTAACGCTAATATGTGTCTCTAGTCCGTCTTCAAACCCCCCATCATGAGGAAAGTCCATCCTCTCCGTCTTTTGCCTGCTCCACTTTTCAGAAAACGTGTGCTCACTTAAAGGTACAGATACAGAAACAGACTGTTCTGAGGAGGGCTGAAATAGAGGGGTTTATAGACATGATCAAATACAGACATTTTTTGTGGAGCTCTGAGACTTATTTAAAATTGTTGGAAAGGAGGAGAATATGTGACCTTTAAGGGTTTTGATTTAAATATGCCAGGAAACTGTTTCCTTCTTCAGTGGTGACTTGTAACGTGCTAGTTTTTGAATCCTAAAGACCAACATATATAGCCACCACAAATTGTGTGTGTTTGTACCTTCATGAGGTTTGTGGGCCCACTCAGTTGACCTGGACTCAGTGAACGTCTCCAGTCGGTACTGGAAAGCAAAACAATATACTTATATTAGAGACACAACATGTACTACATATTACACAGGAAGCATTCAGGGAAATTACTGTGATTTGGAATAACCAAAAGTCTAACTCACATTCCTTGTGACATGTGAAAGATAATTAAATATTCTTGAAGTTTAAAATATGCAAACATGAAACTTGAGCCGTCAGAAGTCTGCTGAGGACAGCTGAACTGACTAAAATAGAAACATGTATGTCCAGTCAGTCACACACGGCCAAACATGACGGAGTCACAGAGATCTGTGCTTAAAGTTTTCAGCCTCAAAATGCTGCATCCGTTTAAGATATTTACACCAGTGTGGTTGTCACATTTTTTTGGTCACATGAGAGTCTCTGAGATCTAATGACATGTCATGTGAGAGAGTTTATAAACTGGTAAACTATGAAGTGATGTCATCTGTCTGATTCAAACTGTCCTCAGACACACGAGAGACAACAACTGGGCCCACTTAATCAAGAACCTTAATCCTCTTTATTTCTTTGGGCCATTTCTGTCTTTAATAGAAAGGACAGCTGAAGGGAGACAGGACATGTGGGAAGAGAGAGTAGGGGCTGACATGCAGCAAAGGGTGAAAGTTAGATTTGAACCCATGGCTGTTAGATGGAGATTATAGCCTCTGAACATGAGGCTCATGATATAACCGCTAGGCTATCAGCGCACCAACACCAGAAACTCTGTAGTGCCGCACTTAAACACAGCATAGCTTCCAGCTTAATCTCTGTTGCCTGGATTTGAAAATGGGAAGTGTTCTGGTTTCCATTTATCGTTCAATTACCATCGACCAATCGATCAGCTGGCTTTAGTGTATGCAGGAGAAACAGTCCATATGGAGAGCAAAAGCAGACAGAACCCAATCCAACAAAATGACACCACGGCTACCCTAGCTGGTAATTTAACATCAATGTATGTTCCTGTACAGATATCTGCAATCAATCAAGTAAAGTCTGACAAAAGCCAATCAGCGTTTAGATTTCCTGACTTACTTTAACGCATCAGGACTGATCTACAAACATGAGGGCAGACCTAGCAAAGCTTACATTTTCCCCTTTTATAAATCTGCATCGTGATGTCGTTATTTCAGCTGTTTATTTGCAAGTTTCTGACGAGAAAACTGTTTTTTTCCCGCCGGTTCACAGCACTGAAGTAAGCCAGAGTGAAGCCTCTGTGCAACTAACTATTTACAGTTAAACTGAGTCTCACCAGAAACAGATGACTGGACACTTCTCTAGGGATGTAATGAACCAGCTGTTTATTTTGCAGGCATTTCTGAAGTCTGAACATACGGTCGCTTCTCAAGGTGCTTGGGTCGGTAAAACAATGTAGCGCACGGGAGAGGAAGTCTTGGCTGTAAGTCATAAACGCAAACTGCAAGAAGTTGGCCATCGCTCTTAGAGGCATACATCGTAGCGAGCTGATAGCAGATGGGTTCCAACATTGCTCTAAGCTAAATGCTAACATTACCTTAATAGCTAGTAGCTACCATAGATGCTAAAATGAGAGTAACACATGTAGCGACAGTTCTTTGAGTACTGGTTGAATCTTAACTGTGCATCGTAGGTAGTAAGAACATCAGCTCACCCTGTAGGTGTTGAATGGCTCCATGCTGGTGATGACTCCGTCATTGGCAGGACTTTTGCTCCAGCAGCAGTTAGACGACGCAAAGCTCTTGAACGCCTCATGAGCCACATCCTCTGACAGAGAGGGGACACTGTGACACAAACACAGCACGACTAAGAGTTTTCATTTTGTTCATAATGTCCGATATTTACTAGAACCATGTAGAAATTTAAAAATACAGCATGGTGACAAACTAACCCTAACTTGGAGCATAATGAACAAAATGAACTTCATACTGTATTCAAACTCATAAGGATAACTTCAAATTAATCCCATGAGAAGCAGTGTCATTTTCTCATCTGCTTCTGTACAAGAGTCGCCCCCTGCTGGCCATTGGTGGAATGCAAGTTGAAGGCACTTTTCCAAACCAAAGATTATACAGCCATTCCTTCTACACAGTCTTTGGTTTGGAGTTACTTTTACAGAATAAATTGGTGCAGAGACAAGTTTTGGACAAAGTACATATAGTGTAAGCAGCTTTTAACGTGTTGATTAAAGTCTTTGAGCAAAATCTTCCTCTGCAGTATCCATGTTTTCACAAATCATGACTTAACGCTCCTGAACACACAAGTTGGAAGAGTGACTTCCCAACTCCGGACATGGGACCATATAAGGAGACTTCAAACATTACCTCCAGTCTTCAGGTGCAGGGCCGGGCTGGGGCGGGGCTACAGGCTCCATGGGCATAGGAGGGGGCAGGCAACCTCCTGCAGCGACAACAACATGCAGGCCTTAGGTAACTGAAACACACTGAAATTATCTGAAAACTCTTTGGTTAAACTCGTCTCACCTCCTCCTGCCACAGTGCCTTCATAGCCGGGAACGGTGCCGAACATGTCGGCTGGAGGGGCGGAGGGAGGGGGATACACTGCTGGAGAAAAACAGGAGACAGTTAATAATACAGTATACTATATTATAGAGATACTGTAAGCTGTATCTAGAAGGGTTTTTCTTTAGTTTGACAATTTTCCTCATTTTAGCATAATAGTAGATATTAAAAGAATACAAATAGTGTGTCCAAACCACTAGTAGTGTACATCATTTAGTGTCAAATATGTCAAAAATCAGAATATGTATTTACTGAAAAGTAGAAAACAAGTCTTTAAAATCTTAATTTGCATTCACCCTGCAGACTGGAATCATCAATGCTCCATAATAAAGTTTACAGACTCTCTTATCACACGTTTTTCCCCCTCTATAAAACATGCCTTGATGTGTTTTAAACTCCAGAGTGGAGCGGTCAGAGTCTTAGACAAAGCTTGTTAGTTTAAATCTACTCCGTTACTCTAAAGGGTCTTGCACACTTAGGCTACAGTTTAAGACATCGTGTATTTAAAAACATCAGAATTGTGTTTTCATGCTCGACATTAAAAGTGCTCCTATACCTGACATGTTTTTAAATTTAGGAAAGGACATTATCATTTATGAGGGTCATGTATGATGGAAACATGTTAAGTGGGAACCAGTGTAAAATATAGATGCGTGTTTCAGTTTGGGGAGTCAAACTATGGAGCAGCCATTTTCAGGAGTTGAAATAATCTCTGTGGAGTTTAAAACAACAACCTTAAAATGTAAACTTACAAATGATAAAAACGTAAAATGAGTTAGAATTAATGAATAGTTTAGAGTTAATCTGCTTTTGTTATTTTCATTGTTGTATTTATGATGTCCAGGGTTATATTAAAGATTGCATAGGTTAAGTAGTCTTAAATAAGCCTTGCCAATAGAATACAAGTTTGGATTTTATTATTGTGTGATATAGGCCTACATTTATGCCCAGCCCACATGACATCATGGGTTAAAACCTTCCAGTATCAGAGTGCATTGTAGGTCTATTCATTGTCACAAAACAAAAAAGCAAGACAAACCCTAATTAAACAGAATATACTGTCTTCTTGTTCAAGCTTTTGAGACAAAATTAGCAAGCTTAAACACATCGAACTTAAATAGCCATTCCCAGTTTTTACACATCTGCACATCTAAACAATTGTAGACCTACAACGAAATTAGAAATGCTTCACCTTAAGCACCCCTAGCTACAAAAAAACATAGACTACTCTTTGCATTTAAGTAGGCTAATAAATGGTGTGTAAACATGTAAAGTTTATATATTTTTTGTAATTTTTAATTTTGCCGAAATAGCTACAAATATTCATTAATTCCTTTCAGATTTCACTGAAGGATAGTTGCACAGTCATCCACAACACCATCCTACATTTACAAGCCCACCATCCGGAATGAGCCCACTCTAATTACTTCCATGTTTTACTGTGTTGAGCTTGTGCTCTTTGTTGAACCTTAGGCTCCTGTTAATACAATATAAATATATTTGAACTCCTTCAGTGTGTGTCTACGTGCACTCTGCACCGTCCGTCACTAGTGAGACCACAGAGTCTAGTCGGAGACTGTCCACCCAGTCTGGACTTTAGGCCGACATCAATTGATCCATCACAATGCCATATAGTAAATCCACCAATGAACCTAAAATTAAATAGATAATAAAATAAAAAATCTCATAGGTTTCATAGTTTGATGCTCTGACATCGTCTTCAATATTTCAAAAAAATAAATAAATCGTGGTTAAAAAGCAGCTTTAATTATTCTTGAGCAGTCATTTCTGAAGATACGTGTATCGTTTTCTTTCAGTCCACACCAGACCAGACCAGACAGGACCCGGTTTGGCTAAGAAACCGGCTGCTCTTATTCAAACTAGAACTTAATACAGACTGGAAAAATGAAGACAAGCGTGAACAGCTAGAAATTGCGTTTTGCATATTTAACGTGACGGTGTTGCGGTCATGTTTGGTACGACGGAGGATTAGAGCCATGTTAATTTATTTTATTTTATTTTATTTTTTAACGTGGTCCTAATCCTCCGTCGTAGTTTGGTGACCGTGCAATCTTGTGTCGTTTTGTTTTCGTCCTTACCTGCACTGTTCATCATTCTGCCGATTGTTTTTGCTCGGTTTCAGTGAGTCCAGTTAGTGTTCTCCGTTGGCTTCACTCAGCAGTGATCGCTGCCTGCTGCAAGTGTGCAATGAGCGACAATGTAACAAAGGAACTTCCGGTGAAATATTCAAAATAAAAGCCGGCTGGATTAATTACTCTTCAGCCCCCCCCCATGTAATATTTTAAGGTCAAAACAGGCAGATTATAATGTATAATATATTTAACACATAGGGTGCTCTCGACATACTGTGAAATAGATAGAGATACAGATGATAAACAGGCCTACATTCAGCTGAAGGTTTCACAAAAATTAAATTCAGCTTCATCAGAGAATATAAAAACAAACAAGAGGAAAGACTACCTGGAATAAGACCATGATGGTGTATGAAATTATACTGAAAATCAAACAGAATAACTTTTTTATTTTGTGAAGGGTTAGGGTTAGGGTAAGCGCAGCTCTGAAACAGAACAAGCACGATTTATGATATACTTAAAGTCTTCATGTTATCTTCATTATTTCACTTTGTCAAACATTTTGGCATTACAACAAATATATCAGAACAGAACAGCACTGTTCATAAGACCAATAGTGTCACACAAAAGCATGCATCATGAGTACATGTTGACCTAATCATTTTCATGAATCTGAAAAGTGTTTTAATGGAGCTCTTTCTGCAGACGGCTTCAATGAAGGTTCAATATGACAGATAACAGACACGCTTACTAATAGTTGTGTTTCTAGTTATTGGCTTATCACATGAGTACTTTTTCCAGACGTGACATTTTGCATTATAAAAGGTTTTATTGTCTTGTTTTCACAGTACAGACAAATAAAAGTCAAATCACAAAGTTCTCTGGACCCTTTGTACCACGATCTATTAAGCGTGTGTGTGTGCTTTTATTTTGAAGGAGTCGCATATAGATCCCGGTGTAGATGGATTTTTACTCCAGTTTGACCCCTCCGGTCTGCAGGTATGACGACCACGACCCATCTGGAAGGGATTTATAAAACACCCGTGATTGTTCCCAGAGGAGAGGGGGGGTAATTGTCATGAACAGAAACTAAATGAACATTCAAAAAATTAGAAGATTTACTGATTCACATTCCTGCAGCGTTCCTGGGGCTGACAGGTCTCATGCTGACCTTACAGCATGAGTTTACTAAAACAGGCCTGGAGCTGTGTTTAAATGTCAGACATGTTCAGGCGACTCGTGTCTCCTGAAGGAACATTTTTCACAGGTTAACAGGAAACAGCTGCTCTTAGAGGATCCTAACAGTGTGATGTCGTGTCAGGTCCCCCCCTCCTTGTTCACGATGACGATGGAGGTCATTTTACACATTTTTACTTGAAACAAAGTCTGACATGATCATGTTTGGGATCTATTGGTCTGGTATGGGTGGATCATTTGGAGGAGACAAGCAGAGCTGATGGAGTGGAAATGTGTCTGATGGCTCCACCGACACGTAAGAACACGTCTGGATTAGCGTGTTAAGAGACCCCAGGAACAAAGAGAATTTTAATTCCTAATAATCCCACCCCGCCCCTCTTTCTCTCCACTTGAAGATCCTCAAAGCCCCGTGGTCCCATAGGGTTTTGATGTCTTACGTCAAATTAGGAGAGGGGGACATGTAAGCATCACGATTAGGCTAAATCACTACATTTTTTAAAGCTCGGGGTTTGGCACCAAATAAGAATTATTAAGATCCTTAACTTCAATAAAAGTATACTTTTCACAGCATGCAAACATTGTTATTTATAAACTTCCAGCTACCAGACCAATTTCCAGATTTGGGACTTGAGCCAGCGACCCTCCAGTTCCCCACCCAAATCCCTACAGAGCTGAGCTACTGCCGTCCCATTAAAGTCATTAAACTAATAAAGTGTAATAAGATAGTAATCAAACTTCCCAGTGAGCAGTGTTTGAGTAAAGAACTATAAAGTCATTGTAGTTTTGATAAACACGTTTTGTAGAAACTTTGCAGAATTATTAATTGAAGATTAATGGATAGGGGGTGGGATTAGATACATTCACACTTCTTCCCACTCCTGTTTGAACATGTCGCCTGTTGTTTACGACGATTCTTTTGTTGGCTTGTTTGTTTTTTGCTTTGGGGGAAAAAATAGTTCATGTTTAAAATAAAGACTTCAATCAATCAACTTGAAGTTTATTTTGCAAGAAGACATTTCATTATTTTATGTGAGCTTTCTTCACATTTCTTTTATATGTATCCATATCTGTATTTTTATCTTATAAGTAGTTTGCAAATGCTGTTAAGATTTATTTAATGTCTTTAGTTTTCTGTCAATGTTGTGATGTTTCTGTTCTGAACAAGAAGTACAGACCCTTAATGAGTTTACAGCACACGGCCAGCAGGGGGAGCCAGAGTCTTACATATATACACACACACACACACACACACACACACACACACACACACACACACACACACACGCAACCAAACATACAGTACTTCCTGTTGGCTGTGTGTGTGTGTGTGTGTGTGTGTGTGTGTGTGTGTGTGTGTGTGTGTGTGTGTGTGTGTGTGTGTGTGTGTGTGTGTGTGTGAGAGAGAGGCTTTCACACTGAGCCGCAGTCAGTCAGAGAGGAAACTGCTCAGTTTAAATAAACACAGGGCTGTGTTTGATTTTCTGTGTCCATGAATCAAACGCACCTCAAAGGGCTCAGATGCTTGAAACGTTCTTCAGAATAATGTTCAGCTCAGTGACGCGGGTTCACACACAGACACACAAGAGGCTGTCACGCTTAGCTCTCATGACTCTTTTAAATTCAGTTTATGTTGATGTTATTTTGAAGAGAATGAAATCAGTGTTTTGAAGAGAAAAAAAACATACTTTGCATCGTCTGCCCTGAGCAGAAAGATATAGACGTTTATATAAGACTTCTTGGCACTTTGTGTTCACCCTGAAGATCACTTCCGTAAAACAAAGACGTAGATCATCTCTATAACAGCGTAAATATACTCTGTGAATGAGTCTCAAATGGAGGAGAAAAGTTCATGGCCATAAATCAGAAATTTACGAGAACTACTGTATCATCATTTTTAAATATTCTCTTTGATTTTAAGCCCTTTTCACACAATCACTCCTGAAAGCCTGCACCTGAAATCTTCCTGACTTTGTGAGATTTTGCCCATGAAGACAATAACTAATTAGACCAATATCATATTTTAACCAGGCTGTAGGCATCAAGGGGAACCTCGACAAAATGCCGGATTTTGCACTTCAGCATTGGCTTCATTTTTAAATCTGGAGGTTACTGCTAGCTCATTACACATGCACGCTAATCGCATGATATGATGATATAAACGTCATGACGACCGCCTTCTCACTTGTGGTAAAATCTCCTGAATATTTCTGTGGAGCTAGATTTATGTCAAATATTAAGAGCGCGTTTCAACATCCCCACGAGCAAATATGTTGTGTCACACACTCAGATATTAAATGCCACACACATAATGAAACTCTTTGCGCACAAATTCATCAACAGAGAGCTGCAAGGGTGAAATAAAACACAGGTGAGGGCTGATGGGCTATACAAGGGAGAGAAAGAGGAAGATGAGGAAATGGACAGTAGTTCAGAGCCAGAGAATAACATGAAAGTTTCAGTAGCTGCGAGCTTTAAAGCCAGTCCGACCTGGACGAGAGATCTGAGCGGCGGCTCTCTCTCCGGGTGCCTGGGGCGAGCTACAGGGTATTTAAGGAGTTTGGTGCATGTGTGAATAAAGTCAAAATTATGAAGTTGATCTATTACAAGTGAAACCATGAATAAAAATGGTGTTAAAAGTACAATTTTTAACGTTGCCTGTGACGAGGCTCCACTGTCATGTGTCCCAATAAGGATTTTTACAGTGTTACAGTGTTGCCAAGTCGCAAACAAGAGGGACACAACAGTGTGAGCTTCACATACACACACTCTCAGACGTGCACACACACATATATACAGCACCGACGCCCTCTGCTGGTTCTAACGTTTTACACGGCCACCCTTTCACCCCCTGTTACTCCTCTGATACTACTTTCAATCCTGGCTCAAGGAAGGAACGACCTCGCCTCTACATCACACCTCTGTTCCTCCTTAAACAACTGCACCACATATGTTTTATTATATTCATATCTGACAGTTTTGCAACAGATTTTCCACCTGTTGCTTACACTTGGACATAACAACGTGGAATTGTCTATTTGAGCTCTACATAATTTTAACAGTGGATAATGATGTGATGTATATTTCTTCTATTTAAATGTCTTTAATGCCATAAACATAAAGATCCTCATCAGCCACATTTTCAAACAAATCAGCCTAGAAGGCAAACACCAGCTCTACATTTTCACTGCTAGAAATAAAACAGCAGAAGACGAGCCAGAGGAGCGTCCAGTAAGATCAACAGTTTCAAGAGTTATTCTAAAAATCTGCGGCATGAGCTCTTATCAAATCTTCTCCACGACTTTTACACCTCAGAGAGAAACCACAGACGGGGATTTCTGATGTTTCTATTCAGGAGGGAGCTGAACTCACAGCTCGGAGCCTCTGGTCCTCCTCCGCTGAGAGGATGTTTACACATCACTGTGTGTGTGTGTGTGTGTGTGTGTGTGTGTGTGTGTGTGTGTCATCCGGGTTGAGTAGAGTCATGCATATTTTCCATTACCCTCATCAAATCAACAAATCAATGTTAAACACTCCTTCTCTGTCCCTGTAAAACCGCAGAGCGCGTGTTTTTATCACCTCCTAAGGACAGATCAATCAGCAGATTCGATATTTGATCAGTAAACTCTGGGACAACCACTCTGCCAGATGTAGTCTCCAGTTAAACTGGTGTGACTTGAACCAGTTTGCTGTTGTTTTTTTAAAGCAGTTTATAGCTTCATTCCAGTTTAATGACTCTGCTGATCTCCAGGCTTTTTCACTTCAGGCACCAGTAGCTTCACAGTAAAATGTGTGAACAACTATTGGCTGGATTGTTCATAAAATAACACAAATTCATGTTTGCCTTGAGCCCTTTATGAGAACTTTCCATGAAGCGCATTGACAGTATCAAACGTGTATG